CTATACAGAATTTTACAAGTTATAAACTTATAACATGTTAATAAATTATTTTACAAATTAACGAATTATAAATAATGGTTTTATACTTCTGAAAGTAGTATTTGGAAAAATAATACAGTGAGTGAGAAATAAATTTTAGTGAGAGTTAAAAGTAAATTTAAACTACTGCTATTTTAGTGAATAAGAGTTAATTGAAGAACAATAACTCAGTTTCATTTCTATGGTATTTTAAGACATTTTCAATTCCAGAAAATTAACACTGTTTCTAATAATTTTGCTTTTGATTTGATGTGGTTTGAATTTGTCTGATTTAATTTGATATCGTTTAAATTTGTCTGATTTAGTTTGATATAATTTGAATTTGTCTGATGTAGTTTAAAAGAGTTTGAATTTATTTCATTTTATTTTACTTAATTTTCTTAATTCAATTTTAGAAAATTTGAATTTATTTAATTTCAATTTACTTGATTCCAATTTGCATAATTTTATTTGGCTTGAAAGTGTCTGATACGAAATTGAAATGGAAACTTGGATTTTAATTAAACTTGATACTTCCATTGTATTTATTTTGTTTATTAAATGTGTCAGCTTCGATTCGAGTTAATAAACGCGACTGGCTCCAGAAACCGCGATGTAAAATTGAACTTGTATTCGCGCAATGTGTACGATTTCATAGTACAGTGAACGAGTATACTTCCCTAGGAAAAATGGCACAGTAAATTAACATTCAAATATAAAAGTTAGGAAATATTTGAAATTTATAAATTTGTGAATTTAAGAAATTGAAAGTTTAAGAATTTGCAAATTTGGAAATTTCGAAATTAGAAACTTGTGAATTTATATAACTCTCCCAAAAAATTGTAAAATTAAAAAACTGAAGAGTTGAAGAGTTGAAAAGTTAGAAAATTGAAAAGTGAATAGTGGCATAATTGAAAAATTGAATAATTGAATAACTAAATAATTGAATAATTGAAAAAAGCGAAGAATTGAAAAATTGAATAATTGAAAAAATCGAAGAATTGAAAATTGAATAATTGAAAAAAATTGAATAATTGAAAAAATTGAAAAATTTCTTCCCTTCGCCATTTTCCCTAGCCAATATCACCTCGCTACATGTACCTATACCGCAGAAATTTCTTGACACGATGATCCTAACGATGATTACATTCGCGAGGAGACGTTCGAATGAAAGGAGGCGTTCCATGGTGCCGCGAAGCAAAGTCTACTTCGACGCGGGCGTAGAAAACGACGGACAAACAGACAGACAGACAGACAGACAGTCAGACAGACAGAGAGAAGAGGAAAAAAGAGTATCAATTGTGTAAAGAACTATTGCACTATACGGTTTCACGATACTCGCTCGATTAACTAGGCAACGACATCGTTCACGGCAGTTCAGATTTCACGAACGACTCTCGTTTTCTTTCGAAATAAACGAATGACAATTCGGACACTTTGCGTAACGGATGGTGATGTAACCAGAATTTTGGGATAGATTGGGGAGTTTCAAATAAAATTTCAGAGTGGATCTGTCAATTTTAGAATTGTAAGGTGGACCAGTAAGTTTCAATTAGATGTTAGAGGTGGATCAGTAAGCTTCAAATAGAATTTTGGGGTGGATCAGTAATTTTTAACATCATACAATTCTAGGAAATATCAGGGAGTTTCAAATATAATTTCAGGGTGGATCAGTCAATTTTAGAATTGTAAGGTGGACCAGTAAGTTTCAATTAGGTGTTAGAGGTGGATTAGTGAGTTTTAAATAGAATTCTAGGGTGGATCAGTAATTTTTAACATCATACAATTCTAGGATACATCAGGGGGTTTCAAGTATAATTTCAGGGTGGATCAGTCAATTTTAGAATTGTAAGGTGGACCAGCAAATTTCAATTAGATGTTAGAGGTGGATCAGTAAGTTTCAACTAGAACGTTAAGATGCATCAGTAAGTTTTAAAAAATGAATAAATTTCAACCACAATAACTTACCCTGAAAATGAACAATTATATAGTTTTAAATTTAAATTAACTTCTACTGCCAAAATTTTTCTATTAAAATTATTAGGTTGATAAAGATGGTCTTTTAATAAATGTTAATAAAGACGCATATTTAAATGAGAGACAACTTTAAATCTGAGAAATCTATTTTGTGTCACACAATACAAATTACTGTAATGGTACAATTAAAATAAATAGTCATTATGGTAGACAATGATCCAATAAAAAAAGGACCTTGTATCATGCAAGGTATACAATTTCGTAAACAAAAACAACTTTCTTTAGACAATCTGACTAAAAATATGTTTGAACAGTGAAAGTTTTGAATGTCTTGAAATTTGGAGATTTGAGAAATTTAAAGAATTCATAACGATACAAAAAAGGATTTAATTTCAAACTTAATATATTTATGTACAGTTTCCTCAAAGATTATATCACAAGAAAATTTATTAAGCTCACTAACAGGTATAATAAAAAGAAAATGAAGAAGTAAATTAAATTAAGTTACATAGAAAGTGGAAAGTTACTTTCTCTGTTTCTGGAGTATTTAATATTTGAGACATTAATATAACAAAATAATAAAAATGAGTTCTTGACTCACAACTTGAGATAACCTTAATAAAAGAGATCAAATTAAGATCTAATATTTGAAGAATAATGAATTGAATTCTACATAATAATATTTGAAATAACAAAAATTATTGAAACTTTTGCACTAGCAATTTAATTAATTTAAATATAAACAGAAAGCGCATTTCTACTAGTTTTATTCACCGTATGCACCTCACAAAATACAATTATTTATACATATTTCAATATTTATATATATATTTGTTTGTTCGTGTATTACTGTGTATAACAATTAAATAATCAAATCTGATACGTCCAATACATGAGTGAATTCACTATAAATAATCTTTCTTACAATTTTCAATATTTAGACGATCTAAGAACTCTCTAAGACATTTAGACATTAAGGACCTTCAAAACTTTCAACATTGTCAAAATTTAAAACCACCCAGAAGCTTCTTAAACGTGTATCATTAGTTTACTCATTTCAACATTTTTTAACACTTTCTCATTACAGAACGTCTGCTCAAGATCTCTTTTTAAAATACAAGACTTTTTCCTTTTGACAGAACTTTGGTTTCCATTTATGTCATATTGTAATGTGGAATAAATTATAATTTAACAAGGAGAATTATTTAATGTAAGAATATATGAAATTTTATGCTTCGCTTACAGTCTTGAAAATTAGAAATATTTTAAATAGTTGCTGATGAGGTACATTAACACACTAACCACTGTGATTATTTAACACAGTCTACGATGAAACAAAAACAGAGTGTAATTAATATTATTAACACTGACTGTCATGATCATTCAAATAAATATTCAGAAGAATTTTGAGTATCTATAAGCTGGGAATACTTAACATGTTTAATTGATGAAACGTAAACTCTAATTTAAGGCAACAAATTGAACAGTGAAAATGTAATACAGGATGTTCCATTCAAAATGGATCACTGAATCTACTTGTATCTAAAAAAACATTGCAAATAAAACAAGGGTCAATATGATTATGGTATAATCACAATCAGTAATTATAATGTAATTATAGTATAATTGCAATCATTAATTATAATTATACCATAATTACAGTGAGTATTTATAATATAATTACAGTAAGTAATCATAATTATTATGAGCATAATATAATTACAATCACTAATATTACCAACATTATCAATAATACCATTTATGTTCAAATTCATTAATTAAGGAGATCCACATAAAAGACTCACAGCTAACTCAGATCAAGTTAATGTGTTAAGTACCTTCAATCAAGAGAAGTTACCGCAAAATTCAAAGAGAAAAGAAAAAATAAGATGATGGGAAAGCAGAGAAGGTTAGTTTAATGTTTTTACGAGATAATTCGAGAGTCGTTCGTTTCATTTTTCTAAGCCGCCTCCCTCTTATCGATGGAATGTTTCTCAAAAGTTATCTCGAGCTTAAATCGTGGCGGACATGGCCGCCCTGTTGTGAACATATTTTACAATCGTACACATATATTTATATATATACGTATGTATTTGCGTATTAATAATAAAAATAATAATAATTATAATATATTCTCTCTTCGTATCTGATTAAAAGTAACTCACGTATTCGCAGTTTTCTTTTTCTTCGTTACTTCGTGTCGCAATACGAAGGCTCGTATATAAACTATGTACAAAAACAACGGGCAGAATCAACGCGCGAGACTCCATTTTTTATTTTTCTGCGCGATTCGGAGTCGATCGTGCAATGACAATAACGTAACATAATGCAACGAGAGTGAACGCAGTATCGTTGGAATTACGACTACGAATTAATCATCCCTCCGACGAGAGAATTCGGTATAGAGCAACCCTTAAGGTACATTTTTTCCTGTATCCTTGTACGATTCTGAACTTGTGTTTAGCCAACGACGTTGGTCCAACAAAAATAACGGTATCACCTTTAAAAAAAATGAAAAACAAGAGGAAGAAATAAACGCGTGTCTATATAGCGCTATACGTATATTATCGTATAATAATAATAATAAGAATAATCAGTGTTCTTTGGTAACACAGTGATGCGTCCGGAAACCACAAATACGATTTCAACGTATTGTCTGATCGTGACAAGATGGTCCCGATAAATGTGCAGTGTTGGCCGAGAATTCGGTAATTCGTTAGGATCGAACAGATTATGGTTACAGAATTTTATATTCTTTTACAAAATTTCGTTTTCGGGAAAGGTTAATAGAAAACAAAGGCATTTAGTACTTGATTTGGTCAACTTTCTAGGATTTGAACACTTAATTACAATGTTACTCTTGTGACGAATACTGGTGTTTTCATTTTATAAAGTTACAACTTTCTTGCACTATTTTAATTTTGTACTGTTACTATTTTCAAGTTTTGGAATATTGTCCTAATTATTTTGTTATAATTTTTAAGTCCTGTTTGTTCTAATTTTAATTTTACAATGTTATCATTTTTAAATCCTGGAGCATTGTTTTAATTTTAATTCTGGACTGCAGTTTTCAAGTTTTGGAACATTGTCCCAATTTTAGTTTTGCACTGTTACAATTTTGAGGTTTTGGAACATTGTCCTAATTTCAAGTTTGGAACAGTGTTTTAATTTCAACTCTTTGCACTCAGAAGGTAGCTCATTCAACTCAACAAAATGAAATAAGTTTTTAATTAAATCTAGGGTGCTAATAATACACAACGAAACACATTAGTAGAAACTTAGAAAGAATTCATTAAGTTTCTCAACAAAATATTTTAGGGTTGCTAAAACATACTTCTGAGTGCAAAGGGTCCATTTTGCATCGTTAAAACTTTCCAGGTTTAAAACATTGTCCTATTTTTAAATCCTGTAGCGTTGTTACAATTTTAATATTACATCTAGGTAAAAGGTATACTTTATTAAAATATGATAAATTCAATTTTGACTAAAAAGTTCAATGAATCTATAAGGATATTAAAATTTGATTTATTTAAAATTTAAATTTGTCATTTATTAGAAGTGCAAGATTCTGTTTACAACTTTTAACTTAACCTCTTCAAGGATGATTTTTAAAATTAGAAACAGAAATAATTCAACGTTATACATTACACATTACTACAAATTTTATAGACAACAGAATATAAACTTCAAATACATATAAAAAGAACACATCCTTGAAGAGATTAATTTTACACAGTTTAATCTTTTAACCAATTTGCAGTAAATTTCCTTAAATTACACCTGGTCACAATTATAGCAAATAAACTAAATCCTTTTCCCAATAACGAAATTTCACAAAAACGTCTTATACAATATTTCCCCTTAAATTCTCCGAAGTAAAACTATGTTTCGCATCCGCGGTTCAACCTACACAATTCAAGTACTATGCTCTCTAGCGGACCGTTGCTCGGTCAGCATGCGACTAATCGCCAATCACCTGGTCGTTTCCTCGATGGTGGGTGACCAATAAAAAAGAGAAGTAAACAATAAAAAGAACGAACATCCATCTTGTCCTACGACCTATTTATGTACACATGTTCACGCACGAGCGTACGCGTTCTTCTATATACATGTGTGACAGCAACATTCTCTTCATCGTCTCGTACATTCAGGCTACCTCGCGTTTACCCGACTGCCTCGTGTTTTCACGCTTCATCCCTCATTCGCGGGATTGCTAGTTTTACGGCCGACCGTATGTACATCGTTCTCAGTCGGGTAAACAGCGATTGCTATGTCTGACGGTTCGAAGTAGCGAGCTTAAATAAGACAAACAAAAGAGGGTAACTTCGAACAGCGTACCGGAAATCCGCGGCATCATCCGCCAGTACTTTCGAGCAACGACTTGCTCGTTCTGTTTCAAAGCCTGGCACACGCATTCGAGCATACACACACGCACACATACTGTCTCTCGTTAATCTCTTAAGCTTAAGCTTATCGATAGTTAAGTAAATATCTGTAAATCCTCTCTATGTACACCCTGTTTTGAATAGTTCCCTTATAACCTAGCCCTAAGAACTCGTTTCGCGTGGAATTGCGTTCTCTAACAAGGATCCATGGTGACCGACGAAACACCTCAGGGTTCTTCAGATTCTCCCCGAAGGTCACACTCCGACTGGAGAAGCTCTCGCTCGTAAGATAGGAAACTCCGGTCTTCTTCAAGATCCTTGGGGATAAGTTTCGTTGGTGCAGCGTACTGCCGTGTGGTCCCGGGACTTCCCGGTGAAGGATAAACGAATAACTCGTTACCGACCGTCGGTAAGACGGTCAAACGAGGGGTAAACGAGGTTCGTTCGTATGCTAGCGTTCATGTCTCCGGTTTTCAGCCTCGTCGGAGACCTTATGAGCCGAGCTGTTGACCACTCGCTACGTACACGTAGCTCTATGGTTGCTGCAGCAACAGTTGCTCTAATTCGTCGGCGGACCTCAACAGGAACGCTGCGGACTCTCGATATCCGGTGATCAATTGCCTCACGGCTGTCATTTCCGTCGCGTTCAGTTTGTGACTCAACAGCGGCTTCGTGTTCTTCATGCTTAGATCCGTTGGTCCTGGAAAAAGGAGACTTGTTGGTGGAGGCTGTTGCTGTGGATTTTTATGCTTTAAGCAGTTCTTTAGTTTTTAAGCGAAGCTGAGACTTTGAGAAGTGGAGAGGATCTTAGAAAATAGCTCTTTAGCAGTTTTGTTAATATTTTTGTTAGCAGTTGATTGTAGCTGAAACATTGTTGTGGATAAATGTTGGAGAGGATTTTAGAAAATAGCTCTTTAACAGTTTTATTAATATTTTTGTTAGCAGTTGATTGTAGGTGAAACATTGTTGTGGATGAATGTTAATTTATAAATGTAATGTTTATAGTTTAAATATATGTCTTATGAATTTGTATAATTTTTATGACCATGAAAGATGTTATGAATTATAAAAGAAAGGGTTTTTGAATTTTTTTAAAAATAAATTTAAATTATTATAAGAAACAAAAAATTGTTAACGATAGAAAGAATGCTAAGAAGCAGTACATTTTGTACAAAATATTAGTGATAAATTGTAATATAAAAATAATCAATTCCATTTACTGTATTTTGTTACTTGTTGAAGCAATTCCTAAGTGTGCAATACAAATTTAATTTATTAGTACTGATTTATTTAGGTGAACAATATTGGTTAACAAATGCTATTAAATTTTGCTTTCAAAAATAACAAAATTTTACACAATAATATAATACAACAATAATTTATTTACATGTGTGAAAAATTATTTATTAAATATTTTAATACAGAAAGCTCAAATTAATTGAAAAGTAAATTTGTATAGTATTTTTGACTGAAAAGTTATACTTTTAAAAATAAAACCCTATTGGTTTAATAACGTTTTATAAATTAGAAAAAATTTAATATAGTATGATATAAAAATGGAGAAAATAGCTTGTATGCTATTTTAATGAACCGAGATAACGTTTAACTTCTTACACATTACTTTATCAAATTTTACTCAATCAAAGTATAAAAAATGAAGTTTGATTCGATATATCGAGCGGTTTCTGCGCATCCGTGTTGAGCACGTGACTAAACTTCTCTTATATAGGGGAATCCCCAGACCACCGCGAGTTACTTCAACTTTTTGCTTACTCATACAGTCAAATGAAACTAATAGAGAAATGCGGAAATGACGAATTGTGGAAAAACAGAAAAATAGAGATATAGAAATAGAGAAATGTGAGAATGTAGAAATCTATAGAAACACAAAAATGGAAAAAGAAAAATAAAAATTTGTAGAAAAATAGAAACATAAAAATCTATAGAAATCTATAGAAATATGAAAATATGGAAGTATAGAAGAATAAAAATATACAAATCTACAGAAATACAAAAATAGAAAAAAAAATAGAAAAATAAAAATACGCAGAAATAGAGATATAAATATAAAGAAATCTGCAGGAAAATAGAAAAATCTCGCCATAAAAATATAGAAGTCTATAAAAATTTATAAAAATTCAGAAATAAACAAAACCAGAAATATGAAAAGAACCTATAAAAAAAGCATCAATATTCTAAAGTAAGTGCCGGTGAACGCAAACGAAGCACAAAGCGAACTCATAAGAACACCGATAAGGAATATTACTTTGTGTACCGTTGCTCAATAGTCCCGACGTGAAGCTCTGTGTCGGGTACAATCCAGCTGACAGTGTTGGCGGTACATTTGTGGGTCCGGCACGTTGGAAGGCCTGGCTGAAATTCGGTCTGTACATCGCCGTGGGTGCACCGCCGCTGGCAACACCATTAACGGTCGACGAGCTGACTATCGTCGCCTGGCTGAAAAAAACGCGAACGAGATTCGTGTTAGCGATATGGCCGTAGCATTGATTAGCTCCGCGCGATTCTGCCTCTGGCATTCTCTCTCGTTCCGTGATCTTTGACCGTCTACCAACCGTTTTATCTGCGACTCGTCCGTCGTCGACTCGAATCCGTGTGAATGAGAGATCGAGAATGAGCGATCGTAATTTTTGCGACGATCCACATGTGGACGCGTGGACTGCGTACTCCGATAATTTTATTGTTCGAATATGTGGAGTTTGTTGCGAGACTGTACATGTTTATTTGAAGAAGTGTACTGATGTCAACAAATTGGCGCGAAAAGAAGCTTTAAATTGATTGATTGATTTTGTAAGGAACTTGACTGATATGATTGGCTCGGGAAGCTTCAGTAAACACTTCTGGTTACTTTGGCAAATAATGGCAATATGTAGATGACAATAACTTTGTAGTAGCTCAAGTTTGAGACGGTTGAATGTCATTGTTTTTGGACTAAGTGGTGTGTTGACGAGAGCTAATTCTACCACAGAAAAACTAAAATTGTAAGGCGTCTGTTCTGACCAATCGCAGCCGTAGCTGAGACAGCTGGGTCAGCGCGCCAACGCATGGGTTGGCAGCGGTAGCTTTATGTGAACGGTGACGGTTCAAACCGAATGTTTTGGACCATATTTCAACGTTACTGTTCTAATCATTATCATACAAGTTTATTATAATTACAACGCTTATTTAGTCAACTAATACAATTTATTTACAACGCAAAATTTTTGAAAATATTCGCTCTAAATAGGAGTTTATGGGTCTGTTGATAGGTCAGATAGGTGAGTTTGTATAACTGTAGTTGAACGTTCATTTATTTGGCTAGACGGATTTTTATGAACTTCTGAGAGGAGTAGAGATGTGTGGAGTTTTATTGTGGAGAGCACAAATGAGCTTAAATGAGCTCCATGTACAGAGTGTTTCAGTTTAGTTCACCATCTAAATTGTCTTCAATATTAAAAATGAAAAAATGTAAAACAATGACTATTTCAAAATTGTCATCTAAGTGTACCAAACTTGAAACCCTACATCCAATAAATATTTTCTGAATATTTAAAAATTCTCATCGACATGATTAAAATTAATAAGCTAGTTAAACTAATTACTTATCAGAAAAGAAATTTTACTAAAATGTCTAAAACTTTAAAAAAATAAAATTTCCCTTCAAATGTAACAAATATAAAAAATTAGACAATTACGTTTTATAAGAATTGCAGTTATATTGCACTATAATTTTTTGCAAGTCTTATTAATAAAATTTTGAATGCAACGAGTATTATAATTAACCCACCTAGTAAATTGCTTCTACACTTAAAAAACATTAACAACTGATCGATAATGTACAAAACATTGATCGTTCAAGATTTTAATAAATAGTGACGTCGAGAGAAAATTTTCTATGTTATTAGTTGTTCTATTAGCCTTTACTTTATTTTTATTGATTGCATCGCGTATTAATTACAGTTTCGATTATGGAAGCTAATTATAGAATCTACAACAGTACTCTCCTGTTAGATATAAAAAGGAGCATGTAATGATACAGTGACTCGAGCAAGATTAACACGTTCGCAACCAGCGTTATCTGTACGGGGTGTCCCACAGTTAAATGATTAGACTTACTATATTGGTATGAGTAGTGTGAACAGAAATGAGATGAATTAAGTTTTATTGAGTGGGTTTAGTAAATGAAGATTGAATTCTAGATCTTTTGCAGATTTTTGGAATTTTAGATTTTGTGTAGATTTTAGGAATTTTAGGTCTTTTGCAAATTTTGGAAATTTGAGAATTTTAGAGGTTTGAGAATTTTGGAAATTTGAGTTTTGGAAATTTGAGAAGTTTGGAAATTTGAGTTTTGGAAATTTGAGAAGTTTGGAAATTTGAGAGTTTTGGAAATTTGAGAAGTTTGGACATTTGAGAGTTTTGGAAATTTGAGAAGTTTGGAAATTTGAGAATTTTGGAAACTTGAAAATTTTGGAAACTTGAGAATTTTAGAAATTTGAGAAGTTTGGAAATTTGAGAATTTTGGAAATTTGAGAAGTTTGGAAATTAGAGAGTTTTGGAAATTTGAGAATTTTGGAAATTAGAGAGTTTTGGAAACTTGAGAATTTTAGGAATTTTAGAACTTGGTCATTCAGAAATTAAAAAATTCGAAGATCCAACAATTTAGAATTCAAAAAATTTTAGAATAAAAATACTAAAAGAAAACATCTCCACCTTTCCTTCGCACCTCACCTATCCTTCTAAAAAACACCTCCCATAAAAAAAAACAAATTATCAAAAACATGATTCATAAAACAACCTCAAAAACACACCAATATCGATTCACGTTCTAACTAAGATTACCGTCTTATCATTTTACAAATTTTATCCTCGTATAAAATTGATTCGAAGCGTCATTATTAAATAAGAAAGAAATTTCGATAAAGTTTCACTTAATCTCGTAATTACAGACGGTACGAATTGTTATCTATAATTCAAGGCGTTAGAGAGTCTATATTTACCAAAATCCTTTTTGCTCTAAGCAGAACATTGACGTTGATATTATAAATTTAGTATTACTTCGTCTAGACTGTGCATTCATTTTTGATAAATGTAAGTCTACAAATTTATTTGTAATTCTTACTAGTTGCCATAAATATGAATACATAATTGTTGATTTGTTGAAAGCCATCTATTTTAATTAACTTTATTATTCACTTTAACGATTGTGTTCTAATTTTTTTATATGAACATAGTCTCATTTTTATATATTCTTTGTAGAAAAATATATTTTATATATTTTTTTATATATTTTGTGTAAAATTTATACAAAAATTTGTTATATAAATTTATATATAAAAACCATTTATATAAATTTTCTAACTTATTTGACTGTTTTAGTATTGAACGAAGATCTCCCTATTTAAATAAAAGTCGAACCCCTCACTACCTGACTCGTGACGTTACAGTTCAAGAGGTTATACCACTTTGCATATGTATAAAATATTTCCTTGCAATTTTAAATAATTACTTCCAGTGTACTATAATTTTTAAGTAAAATAACCAAGATTTGTAGCTTAGTGATTTGACTGTTTTAGTATCAAATGAAAGTCTCCCTATTTAAATAAAAGTCGAACCCATCACTACCTGACTCGTGACATTACAGTTCAAATTTCACAAACCTAAATTTGCATAAAAATCTTTCGACTCCCATTGTAATTTGACTAATCAAAGATCCCTAAATGTAGAATACATCTAACACTTCAGAATATATCTAACATCAACGAATTTCAATTTATCCTCAACATAGCAGTAAACTCGCAAGCAGCGAAAACCATGTATAAGGGTTAAACAAGAGTAACGAAATTACTCAAGGAATAATAGTAATGATACTAACCTCATGAGACCCTTGTTGTCCGCCGGTGTGAGCAGTTTGGACGCGGGTGCAAGAGACAGGGGTGTAGAAGAGAGGGTGCTACTCGGCAAGTTCGCCAAACTGGTTAGCGGCGCCAGGGACGTTAGCGATGCCGGTGGTGTGTCCTCCCTCTTCCCCGGAAGAGATTTCACTGGTGTACTCGAGAAATGCTCTAAACTTGACCGGACATCCGTTTGCTGTAACAAGCACTAGTCTTAGACCCTGTTCGCTTGTGATATATCGACTGCTGTCGGGTACATTGGTGACAATTGACTGCCATACTGAAGACGTTCAAACTTTGTTAGGGAGGTATTTTTGTTAGGTACTTTTAGCTAGGTTTTTTGTTATGTTTGTTATGCACAATTTCAAGTAATTAATACGAGGACTCAGATAGGTAAACAAATTCTTTGTGAACATTTAAGGGTCTTAATGTGTAATGTAGCAAACATGTGATACACGTATGTGATTCAAGGAATGAAACGTTAACGTTCAAAGTGATGACTAGTAAATTGACGACTTATTAAATAAGTTTCCTTATGTATATATAATTTTGAATGCTCAACAACGTATATCACTATTATTTCACATATCAAAACTAATAGTTCACATCACTGTTAGCACATTGTCACATCATCCACATATGATTTCCAAACCATATGATACCTACATTCTGAAGAATTTATAGATTTGCATAATTTTCTAATGCTGGTAGTAACTACTTGAAATTGTAATAATAAAGAATATAATATTGTGAAGAAATTTGATAAGATTAAAATATTGTTTAACAAAATTTTGAATTCCCTCGTGTGGCAGTCAACGTGTCACTTGTGAAACGTGTCAAATTGAATTACATATTATTAATATAATTTTCAATTTATTATTCATTTATTCTAACTATGCTTTTTTATATGTTGTTCATTAAGTTTTGTAACTATTATAAATTTTAAATTATATAAAATTCATATTTAGTTAAGAGGGATGCAATCTTCTGTATATCTGCCATTTTGGATTACATTTTTTTTAAGTTCGTAAGAAGTTGTATCATCATATTTGGAACCATTGAACCATTGCATATATTTACCAATAATAAAAGATAACGCTGCGTTATCAAGTCTTTATTAAGTCGATGATAAAATACATTTTTAGGTTATCAAAAATTGTCTCCTGTTAATTTCATAATAAAATAAAATCTTAATATCTAACAAGTCAACTACTAACTTTACAATCTAACCTAATCTCACAATATCATAATACATTAAAAATATATTAATACATTATTAACTTAAATAAATTATCAAAACATGATAATAATCGTAAATAAATACAAATCAATAATTCATAAAAATAATTTAATTAATACAAAAAAATCAAAAATGTTAAAATTCAAATTAAAAATGGCAAATTAAAACTATAAATCAAGGGGTGAGTCATAGATTTTAGATGGCAAATGTTAATTTTATCGATAATCGTTATATTCAGCAGCCATTGGATCAATCTTTCCCCGTAACATCCCCTCCGACAACAAGAAGCAAGAATTATCTCATGCTCTACATTTTTAAACATTCTGACCCAGTTTCCGTCAATTGTCGATCGTAGATCAGCTCAACATGACAGTACACTCCAAAAATTGAACAGACTTCTCGAAACAAAAGCACGAACCACGTGCTCGAAGATGAATCATCTTATGTACACTCCGTTACAACGATGCTTTTCTTCGCGTCACATGGTGCACAAAACACAAATATACTTAAATCTACATGAATTTTAATTTTCAAGCTTGTTTGGTTTTTTAATTTTTTGAATTTGTGGATAATCAAGTTTTGGAATTAGTCAAATTTGTAAATTTTCAAGTCTTTTAGTTAGTCAGGTTTGTAGATTTTCAGGGTTTTGAATTTCTTACTTTTCTAAATTTGCAAATTTCTAAAACTTCAAATTTGTACCGAATTTTCAAAATTTCGGATTCCTCAAATTTCCTAAATTTCAACACCTCTCCAAATGTCTAAATTCCCAAACTTTCAAATCTTCAAATTTCCTAAATTCTGCAAGTGTCCAAATTCCACACCTCAGAGTCCTCAAGGTTCCCAAACTTCAGCCTCCCTAAATTCCCAAAGTTAGAAATCCTTAAATCCCCAAACTTCAGCACCCCTAACCTCTCCAAGTGCCTAAATTCCAAGTCTCAGAGTCCTCAAATCTTCCAAAGTACAGCCTCCCTAAATTCCCAAACTTAGAAATCTTCAGATCCTCAAATTTCAGCGCCTCTGAATTCTCCAAATGCCTACAATTCACATCTCGATATCCCTAAATTCCACATCTAAAATGCTCCAAACTTCAGCAGTTCTAGACTCCCAAAGTTAGAAATCCTCAGCTCCCCAAATTTCAGCAACTTTGAATTCTCCAAATGCCCCTAACTTCAACAGCCCTATGTTCTCAAAATTAGAACTCAAGTCCCCAAACTTCAGCACCCCTAAATTCCCCAAAATCCCAAACTCCACATCTCGAAATCCTCAAACGGTCCAAACTTCATTAGCCCCAGACTCCTAATATCCGAAATCCTCCAGATTCCAAGATTCCCAAACTTCTAAACGCACCCCCAATTAAAATAGAATCCCCTGAACAGTGAATCGTTTATCACATCCCTGTCAACATCTGAATTAGCCTGAGTACCGTCAGTACCTGCTGTATCTGCACTCGGTCGTACACCTGCTTGTGCACCACCCTGAGATTCTTCTTCCTCATGTTTCCTTCCGTGTCTCACAAGCGCAGATCCCGAGTCCAGGTGGACCCATGCGTCATATCAGTTCCCATGAAGGAACCACGGCACCTATCACTGGCCCGCGTGAAACGAGCTCACAGGTCATAAGCTGGAGCAACACCGATCACCGAAAGCACCACGTGTCACCTTTTGGCGGAGAAAACGAGCAGACTGATCGGACGCGATCATCTTCGTTCCGCGAGCAGCAGTGTCACCTGACGGGAGAACGCTCGTAGGAGCGTCGGGCAAAAAGTCGGCGGGCAAAAAGGACGCGCGATGCAGATGCGGCCAGATGTGGCGGACGAAGACGTCGAAGCGCGAGTAAGCTTGACTCGCGGCCAAGGAAATTAATTCGAGGAAAGAGAAGAGTGGCGAAAGAAAGGGGAAGAACGGGATCGAGAAAGAAGAAAGATGGCCAAAGGCAAACGCACACGAACGGACACGCACACAGAGGGGCAAAGAGATGACGGCGAGAGCACAGGCGTGCACGGAGGAATGAAATCGTCAAGAAGAGAGGAGAACGGATGTAGGGAGGTGTTTTTATGAAAGGCGAGCAGTGTGCGTTGACGTCAATTATATAGGTGGCCACGGCAGATAGCCGCGTCGTTGCACGAACCCCGGTCTTCTCCTTAATGGGTTAGGTTTAGGTCGCCGGAGAGGTTATCGGTCTCGCCGACCATCTTTGTCCCCCCGTGTCGACTCTATCTCCCTCCTTCGAGCTAAGGATTTTCAAAGTAGATAAGTCGAGGCGAGAAACATCGAGTTCTAGCTTTCTTGTTATACAGATCTAGTCCAATATCGAGAGGGTTAGGTATGCTGTCGGATTTACACGATGTTCATCTCTTCGAAAATACTGATTTGAAAGTACTCTGTATACGGGAAATAGTCGGGTGGTTATATGGAACGAGGGGTAAGATGGCTGCTGGAAAATCTTGAGCAAGGTATTGTAGATGTCGCTACTTTGACGAATTGTGCTTATTTTCTATTAAAAATATGATGAACGAAAATTGTTTATACAATTATTCTTCATAAAAACTGAAGTGCAATTATAATAATTTTTGTAATTTGAAATGGGGAATCTATGAGGCGCCATTTTGATGCGCGCCGCAGACCTAGTCAATGGCACCCGTCAAAATTTCTTGATTTAGATTGTAGTAATTGCTGCTTCTTACTTATTTAATTAGCAGTTATTGCTCAATTATTATTACGTATTCTAAGTAATTATTATTACAAATTATTTATTGTTTTTGACAAAAGAAAGATTGATAGCATCCGATAAAATGGCGGTTTTTAGATTTCTTTATGGTTGCAGAAATTGTTTTTGGTGTTTATTTATTATTATTACTTATTGCTTATTATTATTATATACAGCTTATTTATTACTCGTATCTTTTGTCGAAGTAAAATTGTTGGAATGTAAAATTGATGGAACTCATCAAAATGGCGGTTCGGAAACATCTTGTTTCAAATTGTGAAAATTCTTGCTTATTTTCTATTTTATGTAATTTATTACTTATAACTCATTTATTATTTATTATTAGGTAGTACTTATTGTCTATTTACTACTTATAGCCTTTGTCAAAGTATATGTAAGATCTATGGAACTCATCAAAATGGCGGATCGTAAATTTCTTCTTTCAAACTGTTAAAATTGTTACTTATTTATTTATTACTACACATTATTGTTTTCGAAGTATTTAATCTACAATATTCTCTTTCCCTAACTAAACAGATGTTCACAAATAATTATATCTTTCATAATTTACGCATTTCAGTCTAAATAAATTACACTAATATTCAGTAATATTATATGAACTTCATATCTATTAAAACTCCTAGCTATTTGTTAAAAATATTAGCTCACGGTCTTACTACTACGCCGGAACATAATCTACATGGAATAGAAATGAGAAAAATGTGTAACAGGAAAGAGAAAAAGTAAAGAGATCACGGTTTCTTAGAAATATGCATGAATCACTCATTCTCATTTATTCGGTCAGATATCCTTCACATATTGCTACTAGTCTATTCCGATACAATCATATCGATTCATCAATGGAGTTCTGATTGATCTTTAGTTTCTGGTAATTATATTAATCGGTCTTTGTCATTTCTTTGTAGTTTCTGAAAAGGGGAATAAAATACGTAGACAAACTTCTGGTAAAGTGTTTCTAACATTGCATTATTAAATTTGAAAATCATTTAATAAAAATTATAATTATTATTACCATTGTTATCATTAAATATTATTAATATTAATGTTTATTAAATACTATTATTAAAAATAATAATTGTTATTAAATGATAATTATGTTAATGATATTATTTATTATTAAAATTTATTATTAATGATATATAGTACTAACACAACAATAATAATAATTATTATTAAATGATATATTAAACAATATAAATAAACATATACGAAGGCTCCTAAGAGATGATTTTGATATTTAAAAAATTAAACAATATGAAAGTATTAAAATTAACTGAATATTCAATACTTAATGTCTCCAAGATTTTTCTAATAAATTACATAATACATTTCACTACACCGATAACCAAACAAAGTTGAAATTTCTACAACAATCTTAAAACGAACCGTAAATAAACATCTCATTAAAACGATATTCCCAAAAGAAAGATGAAGCTAGATACGAAATAAGATCGTTTCGATTTGAAATAAAAAGCTTGAATCCTACTATCAGTTTCATGAATGGCGAGACAAATCAATCTGTTCACGATCAAAATATTTTTAACAGTATCTAATAATAGCTATTAATTAATTATCTTTCGAAAGCGTCAATAAAGTCTGTTAAAGCGTTCGGTAACTCGCGACGATAACGTTTTGGAGACGCAAAAACGGATTTTTCAGCCGTCACGCGTTTACTCGACTGATAATCGAGTTCAATTACATATCTCCAAAACGTACGAAGATAAACCATTCAACTTATTTTCACGCAATGAATCGCATCTTTGCAAACATTTCCAGGAAACAATTTGTACGTTATATCGTGGAAGTAGGTCATATAAGATCCTACAAAACTTATACGCATTTAACCTTTTAATTGCGTAAGTATTCAATTAGAAAATGACTATTTACATTTTTTTCGTTCTAATCTGCCCTTTTTACTAAATAATGGTTTGTTAATAAAAATGATTAAAATCATTTTAGTTAGACTGTATTTATTTTCTCTATTTAAGTTTCGAAATTTCATAAGTAAAGACTGCAGATTGCAAAATTATGTACGGTTAGATGTTTAGTTAAAAATTGCAGATAGATATTTTTTAGATAACACAAGTAGGTTTTTGTCAACATTTCTTTATTACGTACTTATTAATTTAGAGAAAATAATGGGCTTCGATGTCTGATAGCTATGAGGTTGTCTTTAAATCGTGCAGATGGCGACAGTGAACCTGGGAATTACCACTGATTTTTCCTTATGTATTAAACTAAGTTTATGGCACAAGAAGAATGTAAACAATAGCAATGATTTATACACCAAATATATTCCGACAATCCTTAAACAAATTATGAAGATTGTACTGTATTTTAATAAGAGAATAATTGTCAGGAATATCTGTATAAAAATATCGTATTTGAAAAGCGCGCGCAAAGTTGAGGACGAGAGAACAATTTTATAAAGATGTCAAAGTTTGTTGTAAAAAATGAGTAATTGTTCTTAAGCACCATCTATAGTAATTGCAGAAAACTAAACTAAACTGCATAGTATTATTAATTAATATATTAGATTAATAAATCGGATTAAACACATGTGTATGCTTCTAATGTGCACCGCTTCACTCTACGATGTAACATTACTGTATACATATATAACTATTATATTATTTAACTATTTAAAAAATGATATAGTACAAAGAGAATATAAATGGTGTAATGGCGCATAAATATTAAACGCTTAAAGAGTAGAGGTGTTGTCCACACTTTTGAGCGTAATCGTCGGTTCTAATGGAGCCTCGGTCTCCGCAGCGGTTCTGGTCAAATATTAATTTCGATTTAACTAGGGACAATGATTCAAACCCAGGGCAGGAAATACCGGTGGGAGAGCTATTCGCTGTTGGAATTTAAGCGAAATTTCGAAGCGGGCATGGTACACGCTGCGGTACGCAATCGGCCGATCCAAAGCTCGTTGACGACTCTTGGACCGGAGAATATTTCGATTTTTCCGTCGTTCCGCGTACAACGTGGTCAGCTTGTGTGGGTTGCATCAGAGTGGGAGAGGTGCGCGACCCATGGGGTTATCATCGGCCTCTCTCTGTGTACCTATATCAATCCTAGCTCCGTTTCACGTATCAAGCTTTGAAGCGTTGCGCAGGAGCTCCCGCCGGCTCGGATCTCCACCAGCGATAATTTTATGGACGGAGCCAACAACTTTCATGGAAAACTTTATCCACGGGTGTTGCATCACGACTGTGCTCGGGCTGCTGGATTCTTTGCTTGGTCGCGCGTTTTCTTTCTGTCGCAAATTCAGATATTTTTCTCTATTTGGAGAAGATAATTGTATAGATATGCCGATCAATGACCTTCAGATATTTTACCAGGGAATCTCAGATAATTTTCCGTATGAAACTGTTTGGATACTTTCGGATATTCGCGAAGAAATATCAAATTTAGTATCAAATTTGGGTAGGATTTAACATCTTGCACTACTTTTATGGATCTGATTTGAGACACACTCGTCACGCATTCATGACGCACCTGTGAAATACTCCTGACGCACTCATAATGCACTCATTTTGTATTTGTGACGCACTCTCGACGCACCTGTGACGCACTCGTAACGCATTCTTGATGCAATTGTGACGCACCAGTGACACACTCGTGATGCACCCACGACGCCTTCGTGACGCACTCAGGATGTATTCGTGATACATTCATAATATATTTGTGACGCACTCGTGACGCACCCATGACGCCTTCGTGATGCGCTCATGACGCATTCATGATGTGTTTGTGACGCACTTGTATCGTACTCAGGACGTATTCTTGATGCACTCATAATATATTTGTGATGCACTCGTGACGCACCCATGACACCGTGATGCACTCGACGCATTAATGATGTATTTCTGACGCACTCGTGACGCACTCAGGATGCATTCGTGACGCACTTCTACTTCAGCTGTGATTAATTTTCCACGAATTTTTAATGCACTTTAACTTGGAGTTCAAGTCCTATCATATTTTGCATAGACAACGATTGCATAATACCAAGTTGACATAATATTTCAACTTTCTTTGTCTAAGTGTCTAATAGTTGAAGTGTCAAAGGAACATTAATACGAGTGTCTTGTGAGACGTCTCTAATTAACATATTTCTTTGCATTAGTCATAATTCAGAAATAGGTAGTCAAACGTGCTGGAATCTACCCATTAAGTAAATATGGAAAGTATGCAGATTTCAAAGGGTATAAATACCAAATTTAAGTATCAGTTTAGGTGTCAAAAGGAAGTCATCCAAAATTGATTTTTATCATTTTTAGATCATCCCTAATTTCATCTGCATTAGTCTTAATGTAAAAATAAGTATTCGACCATGCTTGAATCTATCGGTAAATGTAAAAATGATACAAGTTTCACAAAATATAAATACCAAATTTCAGTTATAGTTTAAATATCATAATCTTGTCAAAAATAGACTTTCATCATTTTCAAATCATCCTAACTTCCTTCTCCACATTATTTTTAATTCAAAAACTAAATACACGAGCATAAATCCGCCATTAAAACTGATGAAACTTCCAAAGAGCACAAGTACAAAATTTAAGTACGAAATATAAAAACTGACTAAGCGTCTTTCCGCGAGACACACGGTACGGCCGCATAACGCGTTCAGAAAGCATACATACATTCGAATAAATGAATAATTAATAGACGGTTATTAATTCAGCAGAACGCGTTAGAAAGGTTTGCAGAAGGCAGGAAACTGGAAATCCACGTGAACGAGAATGATCATGCTCTTTTCATTCTAATTTTACTCACCGTTGCGGCCGGAAGAGTTGGCATGGGCTGTGAGACGGGCTCCAGACCGAGTCTCATGCGTTTCGCGTTGTCGCTCTCATTTTCGCAGGCTGTTGCCAAAATTTGCTCAGCCTGCACGGAGGTCAAGTGTGCCGGAGTGGGCCTCGCCTAAAAAGAAACATTTCGGTCACGTGATCGTCGCATACCAAAAGCTCGAACTTGACTCAGACCTCGGGAATCCATGAGCTTTCGACTGACCTTCCTTGGTTCGGCGAAACGATTTTAATAGGACCGATATCTATTATCAGGTCTCATTTAACACGTGTCATTGGGCTCTTTTTTCACTCGAGTATGTGTAAATTTACTCTTTCGATAATAATGTTGAAAAATTAGGATTTGGATTTTTGGATTTGTAGTTTAAATACTTAATAAAACAATACAAGGTAGATGAGCAAGTATGGGTTAATGAAGCTTCAAATTTTTTTTTTTAGATTTTCGAAGGTTCAAGTTTTCAAATTATCTAGTTTCCAAATTTATGGAAGATTTGTAAATTTGTGAATTTAGGTCGTTCTCAAATTCTCAAATTATCAAATTACCAAGTCTCGAAATTCCCAAATCACCAAAATATCAAATTACAAAATCTCGAAATTCCCAAATTCTCAATTTTCCAAATCTCCCAAATATCCAAATTCCCAAGTCACCAAATTCCCAAGTCTCCAAATTCCCAACTCTCCAAATTCTCAAATTTCTAACCTCCCAAGTCTCCAAATTTCTAAGTCTCCAAATTCCCAAATCTCCAAATTCCCAAGTCTCCAAATTCCCAACTCTCCAAATTCTCAAATTTCTAAACCCCCAAGTCTCCAAATTCCCAAATCTCCAAATCCCCATGTCTCCAAATTCCCAACTCTCCAAATTCTCAAATTTCTAAACTACCAAGTCTGCAAATTCTCAAATCTCTCAATTCCCAAGTCTCCAAATACCTAAATCTCCAAACTCCCAACTCTCCAAATTCCCAAATCTTCAAATTCCCATATCTCTAAATTTCCAAATCTCCAAATTTTGAAATCTCTTAACTCCCAAGTCCCCAAATACCTAAATCTCCAAACTATCAACTCTCCAAATACCTAAATTTTCAAATTCCCATCTCTCTAAATGTCTAAATCTCCAAATTCCCAAATTGCAAAATTTCCCTCTTCTTAAATTACCAAATTTCTAAATTAGTAATTTACCAAAGTCTCAAATCACCAAATTATCAAATCACGCAATTATCAAATCCACAAAATGATCAAATCCCCCAATTATCAAATCGACAAAATGATCCAATCACCAAATCATCAAATCCTCAAATCTTCCCACTTAAATCCCCAAGTACAAAATTTTGATATGCCTAAAATTTGACTAAAAGCTACAACAGTACATTTATTTCCGATAAAAATAAACCTACCGCATCCCAGGGTGCGCCCTCCCTGCCCCGTTTGTTTCTCCTGCAGCTCTTCAGGTACGTTCTGATCCTCTTCCTGGCCCTCTCAGCGAACTCCGGGAACTGCCTGGTGCAACTGTCGATAATTGCCTGTATCTTCTCCTTGGGTTGTTTAGAGATGGGCACTATACGGTCCAGGTTCTCGTCGACGAACAGCCTGACGAACATCTGTAAAAGGACAGACCGCGGCGGAATGAATTAAACGAGCCCTGTACACTTGGCCGCTCGAGGAATTAAGCATTTCGCGGTGGTGGGAGGCGTACCGGGCTTCTATTAAACTAATTGTAATTAATTAAGGAGCAGCTCTGTAGCCGGCCATCTTGCGGAACCCGGCTGGATTTCAGATTCTAGAAGGGGTGGCTGCTGGAAGACGTTGAAAAGGGAACACGCCGTTGTTTTCATAAAACTTTACGATAATTGAGGCTTTTTCGGGCGAAGTCCAATAGCGGCTCGGCTTAGCTTTCATTCGAACCGCCTCTTTTTCTCACCTTACGGCCACGCTGTTTTCTTCCCTGTTTCGCGAATGGAACAACAACTTCGTATCTTTTTACGCGGTTGCCTGGCTGGTAATGTTAGCCGCAATAAACTCGCCGTTTCCGGTTTAATGCGAACCGAGGAAGGAAACGGTAAGAGACCGGTTACGGTTTTCGCTGCTGAGTTTATTGAAGATAATTAACACCTTATCGACGAGACGGATTTCTTATTGATAATTACTCTTTGTCACTTTGTTGCAGTTACATGTTACAGGTTATCTCTGAAAACCCACCCTTATATTTTGGAAGTGACTTTAAATATGGATAAATATTTCAGACAAAAGTTGTAGGATCTCAAAGACAGTATAAGATGGCGGCGATAATTTGACCTTGGATGGCCGTTTGAAGGTCACATGAACATCTCCAGTTTCTTAGATAGGACCCTAATATTTTATTACATATTTTGTAATTAATAACCCCAATATTTTTTCGAAGTGCTATAAGAACGTCAATTGACATGTACTTATACAGTAGCAAGGATCAGAAGAGTGGTTGACAAACGTTCGCAACGAAGTTATCGACATAACTGCATTCTTGCTAGTTCCTTGCAACTTTCCCGTCGTTTATAGAGCGTGTAATTATCAAGTTCAGATTCGTAATACGTGGAATTACGCGACATATTTTCTGTTCCATTCAGATGCAAAACGAAGTGCACGGTGATACGTAACAACACGAAACTGAAGACAAAATTTTGAAAATTAAAAAATTCTGTGGTGACATTTTGAGAACGTTAAATCATAAAACTTAAACGTTTATCAATTTTAAAAATTAAAATATTAATTTTAGTAAGTGTAACTTGGAAAATTTGTTAGTTTGAAAATTGTGAAATTACAACTTTTATATCAGAAAATTTGAAAACAGATATTTGTAAAATTAAAAATCCAATAACATGCATCAGTACATAAAAAATAACCAATGTTTGACCTTCCTCAAAAATCGCCTCACCTCCGCAATTCCTCCTTCAAAAGCAACTTCCAAAGAAGTCCATAAACAAATAAAAAAATGCTATCGCAAACAAGCGCCATTCGAATAATTCTCGTCTCTGAACGAGAATCCTCGGTTCATTAATCACGGGTCGTTTCAGCCTCCCATTTCGTCTCGAAAGAAGAATAAAGCAACGAAAAGAAAAAACGCGATGACCGCGAGAATTACGTAAAACGCGACTCACGTTGAAAGCCTTCTGACGTTCGGGGTCGTGGTGTCTGGGGTCCAACCTCTCGTCGGCGTCTTCATCGTCGTCATCCTCGTCCTCTTTGTTTCCGCTGCTGCTGGTTTCGTCGTGGGCACTGCCGGTGCCTTCGCCTCCTGTCGGGCTGGATTCGCGATCGCGATCGGATCGCGAGGGCGTCGCTGATGACGCTGGTGGCGGCGTCTTCTTCAAGCCCATGGCGTAAGAGGCCCATAAGGATGCCATGTCCTCGCTGCCTACCCCGGCAACCGCTCCCAAATTTGGTACTGTTCCGGCGGGCATGTCGACCAGCTCCGTCGAACCGTTTCGAGAGTCTGAAACATAAGTGGTTTGGTTTGAATGTGGGGCAAGTCTGCTTTGGAAGATATAGTGCTGAGTTATAGCGTTTAAGGGACATGGTATGGATGGTTTTGCAATTGGAGTGACGCACACGTGACACACTTATGATGTACTCAGGATACACTTACAGTGCACTCATGATGCAGTCACGACGCATTTATGACGCACTCATGACGCACTCGAGCCGAATTCGTGACGCACTCATGTCGAACACCCGATGCATACGCGACGCACACATGACGCACTCATATCGAACTCATGTCGAAGTCACGATGCATTCATGACGTACTTATGATGTACTCGTGACGCATTCGTGACGCACTCTTGACGCACTCTGGACGCACTCATGATACACTCACGATGCATTAGTGACTCACACGTGACGCACTCAAGACGCAATCATGTCGAACTTGTGTCCAACTCACGATGCATTCGTGATACACACACACAGAGACTAATTGTAGAGTCATAGTGTCATGTCATGATCACTGTTCAATGTTATGATACATTTTGTTACATTATGTCATATGTTATCATGTTTATATGATATGTTATGTTCATATGTAGATCAGTCTGCAATAGTCTTCTATACTCAGTTTTTTGTAGATTAATAATGTCAAGTTGTAATAAATAATGTCTGGTTGTTCACTAACACATACACATATGTGAAGTACAGGTTTGGAAAGTTCAAATTGCAGGTACAGAATCAATGGGTATCGCTAATCTCTGCATTTGTCGAATGAAAGGGCTGATGGATTGCTCTCGGCAGTCAATCGGTTCGTGAAATTCCAAGAAATAGGAAACGAGCTCTGAAAGAGAATTGGAGAGCGTCAGATGCGGGCAAGTTCCGGGGAACTTATTTGAATTGTCGTCGAGGGCAAGCGCAACAAGTTGACAGACGCTGTTCTAGATGCGGTGATAAAAAGTTCACGGTTTAATGCCGAGTTACGCGACTCGACATTGATGTAAATTCCGAATGAAACGTTTCGTTTCGGCGCAATTCACAAACGTCAGGGGATTCGTTCCGGGTGGAACATTGTTGTCACAAGAAATTAGCTTTTCGGGTTTAGCGTATGTTCGCTGTTTTTGAGATATGCCGTATCAACTGAGGTATACTTAAAATCCGTTTTCTGTTATATGTCGTTCCTCTTAATGTTATATTCAAGCATTTATTTCTATTAATATTATATAGCTGTTCATTACTGTTAACGCTATTCAATTATTTATTCCTGTTAAGGTACTCTAACATATTTTTAGAATTTTAACGGTGACATTACACTACAGGTGTATGGTCACTTAATTTAAAATTGGGAATTAAGTTCAGAAAGATATAAATAGCATTAATACATACATTAATTCTTCATTTTGATGAAAATCAACAGAGATTTCAAGAAATGCGTTAAAAGCAAGTTGTGTGACTTGATCATATTTGAAGTACGAGTCACTTGACAATCTCCTTGGTCCAACTGCTAGATGGTCACAAAAGTGATCCATAAGACTATGGAAGCACTTTCAAACAATGTTAGAGCAAAAATGACACCGCCTGAGGATAAGTCAGACTATACGCTGAAGCAAACATGCAATATGTTTCCTGTAGGTTAATGCCAGTATTCAGAAAGGTCCACCTAGGTGAGCCAGGCGGTATTTGGCCATAATTTAGATGAAATCAAAGGAGTTGAATCCAAACTGATCAAACGAAGCATTCCACAAAAAGAGAGTTGCGGTAGTTAGACAGTTTCGGAGGTTGTCTAATGCAGGCTCGAAAGTGGCAGAAGTCCGTGAGCCAGAGGTAGCCTCTTTACGGTTCCCCTGAGGCACTCCCTACTCACAATCCTCAACACTTGGTGGGTTCACGAAGTAGCCTCTCTCTTCGGCTTGTACCTGTCCTCGCCAACATCCTCGTGAAAGCACCTTTACCGTACATTCTCTCCCGGGATCTCGGCGATGGAACAGCGTGCCTCTTTCCTGCGGCTCGTGGAAGGGATCTACTTAGACTTATTACGGGTTTTGGAAACAGGTCGGCCATTTTTTTTTGCGGCTGAAAGGAAACGTTAAGACGCCTCGAGTCAAGGCTGTGAACACTGGCGCAGCGATGTGGCTTCAAATTATTCGGATGGAGTAGTAATTTGTGAGGAACTGATGTGAAACGCTGTTAGCTTGAATTATCTTGTTAACCAAAAATACACCAACGGGCTGATTTCGAAGCTTAAACCCGTTATGGCCACCGCAAGGACGCTACGACTTTCGTTTATTTGCTAGTTTGGGCCATGGTCAGTTTTATACTTTGTGGAATTTTTGAATAACTTTCAAGAATGAAACTAATATTTTTATTATAAATTTTGACCTGAAGGAAAAAGGTCAACAAGTAAATATTTAATAAAGAAGTATTATTAGGTTTCTATATTCATGAAAAGTCATAATATCCAATATTATGAAATTTAAATAAATTACGTGGAAAAATAAAGTGTAAAATATTAATCAGAAATTGTTTTAAATTAGTGAAAGACTTGTAAATTAATAATATCCTGAAACTGTTAAATGAAGAGCTGTGAAGATAAAATCTGTTGAAGATGATATCGTTAAATGTCTAGCTTGAAAACGAGTTTGTCCTGTTAAAAGTATAATAAACGACACTAATGAATCCCAAAGGGATAATGTCAATAACGAATACCGATACAAAGAAAAATTGTAGAAGTATACACGTCCATGATTTAATGGATCGCATGTAAAATTATCTTAAAATATGCAAACAATTTTCTGCCACAAAGCAACGTAAATTGTGGTGTTGAACGTCCATTACTTTATCACGTTTTTCGTGTTTGCTACTGTAATTACATAATGCGGGAAATGGCTACAATGTACTACCTGTAATTACAATTGATACGAGCATTTCTTATCAATTACTGTTAACAACATCACGTAGCACGCTTACATAATACCGCTATGAATTATAATCACGGTAGCATCGGTATTAACGAGTTGAAATGTTGCTGAATGTGAAAGATGTAGTCGAAATGAATTTGAGGGATTCTTTCATTTTTTAGCGAAATTTCGACTGGGTTATACTGATTTAAATATGTGCTTTTTTTAGTAATAATTAATAATGCAATTATGATACAAAGTAAATTATGGAGAATTCTATTATCAAGCATCAAAATCAATTTTTTTAATTTTTAGTGAACATGAAATATTTCACATCAACCTGTAAAATTTTAGATTATAACACTATAAGTAGTTTAAAAAAATATTTTATATCAGTTTTATATAACTCGTTGACTTATAACATCGTGACGCACCCATGACGCACCACAGATGCCACAAACTTAAATTGTATTTGCAGAATAATTATATTTGGAATTAAATACCAATTGCAACTTGTATAAGTAACTCCAACTCCAAATACTTCATATCAGTTTTATATAACTCGTTGACTTGTAACATCGTGACGCACCCATGACGCACCGCAGATGCCACAAACTTAAATCGTATTTGCAGAATAATTATGTTTGCAGTTAAATACCAAAATTTGTATAATTAAGGATTTGATTCCAAAATATACTTAACACTTCAACTTTTCTTATTTCTATCAATATCAATAATCGGTCAACCCTTACATTAAGTGTCTTATTCCTAAATTAAAGATTTCATCTCAATGAAAGTAACAAAAAATTTCCCCTACCGTAAAAAGACCACCATTCCTCAACCAAAAGGAAAAGTCCAACATTTTACCAAGCATCGCAAAAGGAAGTAACAGAAAAGTGATCAAACAGGAAGTTGCAACCCCTCCGTAACGAAAACCCGCAACAATACGAACTTACACTTGGACAGGACGAGTTGTCTAACCGGTCGTTGGGAAACCGTCCTACAATAGCCGAACCCCGACAGCGTTTAGAACAACAAGATTAATGGCGAAATAATTCGGAGCCGTCCGTGGTTCATTCAGCGACGACAAATTGCGCGACGCGAATCGCGCGAAACGCCTGGTCATCCCGGAAACGGTGCGAGCGGTCTGCCGATCGGGTCGGCTAAATCACTGTGTACAAGGTTTCGTCAAAATGTTCGAGGACCTTTCTTATGTGGAACTACAGCGACGTATATACGTCCTTCAGAACTCTGGCAAGTCTAAACGCACACTGGATAGCACAGTTTTATTTTGGGATGAGGTACTAAGACTTTAAACGAGATTCTGGCATTTAGTTTTAAATAGGATTCAAATTTTGATAGTTTGCAGTAATTAGACATGGAGTTCAAATTTTGACATTTTGCAGTAATTTCAAGTTAGGTACAGATCATGAGATTTTGCAATAATTTGAGGTTAAGTACAGATTATGATATTTTGCAATAATAGATGAGGTTCAGATTGAGACACTTTAGATAAGATCCAGTAGTGATATGTTGCAGAATTTCGAAATTTATTAAAAAGTCAAAATGTCACCTTCAAGACAAATCGTATGAGATAGGTAACATATACTTGTATCAACATATATTAAAGTCTAAGGTAAATGTGCGTAGACTATGAATGTTCACACTACGAAGAAAATTTGGATCCTTAATTAAGTAGCATGGTCCCCGAACGTTTTGATCATACCTTGCAGCTCGGTTCAAAATTCTCCGTTCATCGCACGCAGCCACGCACGCACGCTTCCAGGAAGATTCCGGTAGAACCAGTAACTGAACGCGCGAGTAGACGACCCAGGAAACTGGACCCTCGTCCAGGAGGCGGCCCAGCACCGGCTCTCTTCCTCTCTTCCTCCTCTAAGCTAGTAACGAAGCTTCGAGGTTGCTGCACCTTGGTTCTTCTACTCGTACGCTTGCCACGAAGAATTCGTGGGCACGAGGAACGCGGCGAGTGGAACGGACTCTCCCCACCCTTGTCCCTGGTCAGGGAAAGGATTTCCCTGTTTGGTCGTGTTCCATGGTGTTGGCAGGATTTTTGATGGGAAAAACTTCTTCGGACGAGCGGCTATATGACATT